CATCAAAATGATGTCCATCTTCCACTCGGGAATACTTAATGGTTGCATTAGACCCGGCAAATTCTGATGTTCAATCTTCGACTTTTGACAAGTCAAACACGCATAAACAAACTTAACTAGTTTATAAATAAGAATCAAGAAGTTGAAAAAACTACCAAAATATGAAGCTTTAGTATGAAGTAGATATCCCCCAGCTCAGAATTTATTTTGAAGATTTGAATGATCAAAAGGTAGACACATATGTTGCGAATCTGTCCTTCAAATTTGAGCTCGATCCAACAGTTATGGAAAATGAAAGCATCAATTTAGTGAGTCCGATTATAGAAAAACGAGAATAGGGTTCTCTCCATTTTCTCTATTTTGTAGATGATTTTGTGCCTTTTTTCTCTCTCTGTCTCACCTATAAATTTACCATATCCACTTAAATAAGTGAGACACGAATGAACTAACATATTTAAGCCTTTTTCCACATAGGAAGGGAGCCCAAATGCAACAAATCTCCCCTCACAACTATATGGAGGAAATCGTCAAATTGGCGATATCACAACTAGTTTCAAACTTCCCTCTTAGTAACACTTGAGTCATCATATTATAACCATTATCATTTGTATGAACTTTAGATAACTCCAAAAACTTAGCATCTAAAACATCACATATTCAATGATATCTCACATCAATGTATTTGAACCTATTATGAAAAGTCGGATTCTTACCAATATGAATAACATTTTGACTATCAACAGATAAAACATATTTGTATTGAACAAAACCAAGCTCTTGCAAAAATTTCTTCCACCAGTGTAACTATTTGCATGCTTCGTAATGGTAATGGACTCGACCTCTATAGTAGAAAATGCTACACATGTTTTCAATATAGACTACAAATCACAACTCCCCCTTCAAATTTAATCATGTAGCCTAAAGTGGATTTTCTTAATTCAATGTCTCCATCCATATTAGAGCCAGATTACTCCACTAGAGTAGGCTTATTTTCTCTAAAAGAAAGACTCACACAAGTAGTATTGCAAAGATACCTTAAAATTCAGTTTACTACATTCTAATGCTTTCTACCTAGGTTTGACAAAAATCTATTGACCGTACAAGTAACGTGCTATATCTAATCTTGTACACATTATTGCATACATCAAACTACCCATAACAAACGCATAAGGAACACATTTCATATCAAATATTTAAATTTTACTTAAAGGACTTTGATTAAAACCTTGAAATAATTAGTAAGAGGAATGCTTACTGCCTTAGAACCTTCCATTTTGAATCTTTGTAACACTCTTTCAATATGATTTTCTTGTGACATCCAAAGTTTCTTCTCCTTTTTATCATGCACGATTCTAATGCCAAGAACATGGTTATCTGGAAATAAGTAGCAAGACGAGTGGGTATCGCCTTAGAACTTTCCATTTTGAATCTTTGTAGCCCTTTTTCAATATAATGTTCTTGTGACGTCCGAAATTTCTTCTCTTTTTTATCACGCATGATTCCAATGCCAAACTGCTTCATTAACCTGTCAATGTTAAAAATACTTTCACTACATTAAGCATATCATCAACATATAACAACTGAATAATGAAGTCATCGTTAAATTTTTGTTAATAAAGACACAATGATATTAAGTAGTCCTCTGGTATCCATGATCACTCATAACTGACTCAAACTTCTTGTACAACTGCCTTGGAGCTTGCTTCAACCCATATAAACTCTTTCTTAATCCACACATATGACCTTTTTTGCTTTTAACTTGAAAACTATCAGATTGTTTCATGTAGATCTCTTCCTTCAAATCACCATGAAAGAAAATTAAATTCACATCCATTTGGTCAACCTTTAAATCAAGAGTAGCAGTTAAACTCAACACAGTTCTAATTGACGCCACCTTTAAAACATGTGAGAAATCTCATTAAAATCAACACCTTTTCTTTAACAAAAACCTTTCACTTTTAATCTGACTTTATGCCTTAGAGGCTTAGAGTTACTCTCATGTTTAACTTTATAAATCCACCTGGTTTCCAAAGCTCTTTTGCCTTCAAGCAACCTCACTAAATCATAAGTGTTATTATCATACAATGGTTTGATCCTAATCATGCATTACATCCAACCACTTTTGATTTTTATCACTTTCCATGACCTCTTGAAAACACTCAGGTTTATCCTCATCACATACTCATCAAAATTATACCTTATAGAAGGTTCTCTCTTCCTGTTAGACCTCCTAAATTGAACTTGAGATGATTCTGGAGCTTCACCAAAATTCTCATCTTATGACATATCATTTCCCTTTTCATAATCATTATTTAAAACATTCACCTCATCTCCGAATTGTTGATCATCAACATAATCACGTCGCTCACTGTTCTGATCAACACCACCAATAATATCAAAATTATGAACAGGTAACCGAACTGGATCAACATTAGAAAACAAATATCTTTCTTAGGTGTAATCTTCTCCACCTTATCAATGCCTTCAACAGTTTGGTCTTACATGAACACCATATTGTGGCTTTTGATAAGCTTCTTCCCTATAGGATCATACAACCTATAACCAAACTCATTTTTCTCATAGTCGATGAAGATACATTGTGTTGACTTTGCATTAACTTGGGTCTTTCATCCTCTGGAATATGCACAAAAGCATTACAATCAAAGACTCTCAAATGGTCATACTTATGAGTCTTTCCAAACCAATTTTTTTTCTGGAACGTCACTTTTTAAAGCAACGATAGGAGTGGATTAAGAACATGCACCGCCGTGTAAAGTGCATCACCCCAATAATGATTGGTCAACTTAGCTTCAATGAGCATACACCTAACTTTCTCAATTAACTTTCAATTCATCCTCTATGCTAAACCATTCAACTGAGGAATTTTAGGAGGAATCTTTTCATGTGCAATATCATACTGCTTGCAATAGGCATAAAGTGGTCCACAATACTCTCCCTCATTGTCAAAATGAACACATTTCAACTTCTCACTTGTTTGCCTCTCAACCAAAGCATGTAATTCTTTGAACTTTTCCAACACTTGGTATTTTCTCTTCAAAGCATAAATCCATGGTTTCTTGAAAGAATCATCAATAAAGGTAACAAAATAAAGGACACCACTAAAGGATTTTACTTTTAATGACCAAAAACATCATAATGTATCAATTAAAACAACTTCAACTCCCTTGAGAGATGATGTCTCTTGAAGGATACTCTAATATGTTTACCGGCACCTTACAATGATAACACTTCTCCAAATTTGCATTCTTTAATTCTGGAAGAACATCTTTTTTAGTTAAAACATTAAGCCCATTTTCACTAATATGACTAAGTCTTTGGTGCCACAAAAATGTTTTCATGCCGTTAGCATTCTTACTTTCCCTAGCAACAAAATATTTTGTCCAATACAATTTAAAAAGCTTCTCCCCTCAGCCACAACCAAGTTACCTTTGTTGAGTTGCCACTTTCTAAAACAAAGTGATTGCTAAAAATCCGGTACGTTCCGTTTTGTTTCCCATCCCAGTCTTTCGCGACACTTCAGTTTTCACATTTTTTAGTAATCCACCACTTATTAGGAAAATTCCCAATAGAGGGAAATAAATACCTTTTCTTTTTTTTACTAGATTATTGTCTTGTTCTTTCACGAGGAATAATGGAACTAGGTTATGTCTTCATGGAAGACCTCGCTAGAGCTGTGACACAATTCTACCCCTAACCACAATCATTAAGCATACGCATAATTTTCAAATTAAAACGGACAATTGGAGCATGTTTGACACCTTTAAGCAACACTTGCATTCCCATGTTGGTTTGCAATGATGACACTCATCATTCTTGTATCGCGTCTTGGACTTAGGTCTGATATTCTCTCAACCACCTTTCGGGTCTTTTTTGTAACTTTTTCCCTATTTTCAATGATAAATACCTTGAATTGAGATGAAGAACCTTGTGCTTTCCTTCTCATCTCCTCATTGAGAATACCACCACTAACCATTTCCAAAGAAACAACACCTCTAGAAGCAGAACTTGTGATAGAAACCCGAAACGTCTCCCAAGACTGACAATATAGCAATTGAAATAGTCCCAAAAGTTACTCGTTCCTGACATCTGATCAAGGAACCCTTGAAATTCACTCAAGTGATCTGAAATAGAAGTATCTTCCTTATACTTCAAACTTATGATGTCATTCAAAAAGAACAATTTACTATTTCCTGATTTAGAGACACATAAGGCCTCTATATTCTCATAAAGTTTTTGCATGTGTCTCATTAGTAATATGATTATCAACATTGTCTTCTACTGTCGAATAAAATCACATACCTGTAGATGTTCAAACTCCTATTCTTCATCAGACACAAAATCCGACTTTGCAAAACTAAAAACTGATAAATACAATTTCTTCAGAAATAGTAAATCTTTCATCTTACATTTCCACAAAGAGTAATCAGAACCATTTTCATGTTTGTATTTAACTTCATTAATCAACAAATAAAATTACCCCTAACCAAGAACTCTGATACCAGAGTTGGGTCAAGAGGAAAACAATTACATTAGGCCAAGAGCAACCCACAAGTGAAAGAGACACCACATATTCACCATAAAATTTAAGGTGATATGTGTATTGATCCTCTCACTTATAAAATACCCAACCTCCATTTTTCTAAATTGAAACTTCCAACTCTCGCGTGTACAACAACAAAATATATATAAGAGCAACTCATAATCCAACTCTATTTGATTGAAAACCACCCAATTCCATTACATGCTTTACAGTGAAATCCCAACCGAATACCACAAAAGTAAAAACTATGAAATTGAGTACTCCTGTGAACATAACCAAAATTTCAATACACATGAATGAAGAAATAAAGCTGTACAAAAAATGTGCTACTTTTTGCATGCAAGAATCCAAATCAATGGATGAAAAAAATTGAGTAATCCAAATAAATATCTTATTGGAAAGAATGTGACTTAATCTGATTTCTTAGATATCAAGCTATTCACTTTTTCATCGACACCGAGCCGGACACCATAGATTTCCCTTTCATACTCAACATGGAGAGATAAGATGAGGAATAATTTGAGGGGTTGTCAAGATCAGAGCAAGGTTTAGGGACAACAGAATCTGAAAATCCAGAAACATTTGAGCAATTCCATGTAGTGGAGGAAGCATAATTTACAGACAAGGTTATATTAGATAAGCATATATTAGTAAATGGAGATTCTTGTAGTCCAGCAAAGCTTCCAGCAATGGTGATGTTTGTTCCAATCATATCTTGAAAAATAAAGTGATCCAAAAGTGGTAAAGCATTAGGATCAAATTTGTCATCGGGATGAGAACCACAATAACCCGAGGCAGATATTGCTGTGTCGATATTCTTCATTTCTACGTCTGATATGATTATTTCCTTCATATAACCACCTCTTCCTTTAACAGTTCTGAACTCAATGCCACCTTTTGAGTTGTGGAGATGAATATGCTCCACAACAACATTTGAAATGCCACCAGACATGTCACTACCAAATGCAAGAGCGGAGCCATAAGATGCTTGTAGATGTACCCTTCTAATGTGGACATTCTCGGTAGGCCTACCGTAGGCGATTCCATACTCGTCCCAGCCACTTTTCAGGGCGATTGCATCATAACCAGTGGCAATCGTACAATCCTCTATGCAAACATGGTCAGAAGAATCTGAAAAAAGCATCAAGTGCACAAAAAAATGTAAGTTTAGTATGACAAGATAATTTTCACAAAAAGGATTCAGTATGGAATGAGTAAATGAGCATTTTGAATTGTAATGGTTGAGCTATTTAGCCCCACAAATTTACAGAATCTATTCAAGAACATCATTAAGTTTAGTCTCTCAATCAAATATCTCGTCACTTAACATCCATCAAAATCAATGGAAGACCGATATATTAACTTGAATAGTCTCTCGTTGCATCAAAATAAGCATGAAACTTTTAAAACTATGGTGTAAAATTCTGAAAAAACTGACTAAATTTCCTGACAACATTCAGTTTAAGGAACTGAATTGCTACTTCGTAAATTTAAAGGACTAAATTATGACGATTACAACTTCAATAACTAAAACACTGATATAGTACTAAATATGGAATCATGTATCATATGTTACTAACCTGGTACTATTCCAACAGTATAAGGGGATTCCGGAGGAGCAAAGATTGAGATATTATGAATATGTACATTGCTATAACAACAAACATAACACAGTCAATATCACATTTTCTTTGAAAATACTTATTTAAGTAGCATTTAGAAGTAGCACAGAACATACCTGCAATAAACCGGGTGAATGTTATATGCAGGGGCATTCAAGAATGTAAGATTTGAAACTACCACATCATTAGATGCCACTAATTCAACCAGATGAGGACGGCTGTAGTTCAAGGAATGAGATTTAAATGATTCCCACCAAGTCAATCCCATGCCATCAATGGTTCCATTATTACCTAGTAATGTCCATACAAACATTAAAGTTTAGACAACAAAACATCACTACGAAGGGCAAAGAAAACTGATGTCAGTTTTATCAATTACGGATCACAAAAAATAGCGGTTACGCTACAATGCTCTAGTGCCGCTATTTGACAGCAATTTGAAGTTTGTATTAAATAGCATATTGTGGACAGTAGCAATTTGTTAAATTTCTGCCAAGTGCTGCAATAGCCACTATTTGACAACATTATTGTTGTAAAAGGGAAAAGAAAAACCTGTTATGACCACATCTTGTAACTTATATCCATTTATCAAGCTCTGATATCTTCCTCCAGGAACTTCAAGTCCTCGACCATATGACGGTAAAGGATCAACAACTTCCCAGTGATGGGAATCCTAACAAATAAAAATGACATGTAAAAAGTCAGGTTTAATTAAGAAAAACACTCCTTAATAAGAGTAAATAACTATGAAGCATTGACACCGCCAATGACATCGATTAAGATACTGGCATGTAGACACCGATTGTAATTTGAGAAAATGTTATAATTGAATGTAACTCCACGCGTCAGTGTCAAACATCAATCAGACCTTCAATCTCAATTCTAAAATTTGAAGTGTCCGTGCTACATTGGTAAATAATCCGCAAATTGAAACATGCGTTCTATGTGCTGTATCTTAGTCTATAGATCTATATAACATATATAAACACATAAAAGACAACAATCAAAAGCTAGTGAAAAAAGAAAAATGAAAAGGTAAAATACCTGAGATCCAACAATGACAGCACCTTTTTCCAAAAAGAGGGTAAGATGGCTAGTGAGATTGAAACTTTGAGTAAGCCATGTTCCAGGTGGTACATACAGTTGAGCACCACCTTTGTCAGCAAATGACTTGAGATAGAAAATGGCATTCTGAAATGCAAGAGTGTTCAATGTTTTACCATCTCCCACCGCACCAAACTCCAAAATAGAGACACTATGTGGCCTAGGCTTTAGCGACGGATTCGCCCCACATTGCCTACCACCTCTTTCACCATTCACTCTCACTCCATTGCTCAATGCCAGCACCAGCAACAGCAATGCCACCTGAAAGTAAATTCAAAAACAAAATTCAACTATCCTCCTAAGATATCTTTCTTATAGACAATACATCAAATAGTTCATAGACACAAATTGAAAAATGAAATTCTCTTATTTATTACAAATAATTCATTAGAAAACAAGTAACCTAGCAGAAATGATCGAAATTAATCGCAAAAACAATTGAAATAAGCTAATATTCAGGGATTAAATACCGATTATACAAATATATCCGATCATATATATATTTGAAGTTGAAATGAAATTTGGTTCAGAGCAATAAAAAAAAATAATAAAAAAAAAAAGCAGAGAAACGTACTTACTAGCATGTTATTGGGTCAAAGGGTGTCTGACAAGAGGGAGAGAAGAGATAAAAGTAGCAAAAGAAAGAACAGAAAAAGGAAAAACAACAGAGAAATGAAGACGAAGCAGAGAGAGAGAGAGAGAGAGAGAGAGAGAGAGAGAGAGAGGTTTATGCGAGAGAGAGTGAATGAATATTATTATTATTAATATTATAAACAAACATTAATCATGTAAATGACAGAAGAGGAGAGGATTAATGTTTACTTCACCTAGGACATCTGTAATATCTATAAATATATTAAGGATTAATGTACTTATTTTTAATGCCTAAATATTTTAAATTATAAGAAAAAATTATTTAATTAATTTAACTTTTTTTTGAAGTAAATGAATTGATAGACACTAGACAAAGTTTGGATAAGACAGTTTGAATATCTTTTAAATTAAATTGAAGTTATGTGATAGAATGAAATCAAGAAAATATAATAAAAATTATTAAAAGAGAATATTTTTTTTCCTAAGACTAAAATTTATGAATTTTCCTAAAATTGTTATTGAGTGATATTCAGAAAATCTAAACTATAATGAAATTATATTTTTTAAGGAAGGTTGGATATATAGCAAATAACTTTACTTTTTCTTTTTTATGGAAACAAATATTTTTACTTTTAAGTACGAGATTGTATTTTAATAAATACTTTACTCGTTTAAAAAAACAAAATTCTTTGACCAATCAATGAGATTTAATTAGTTTTTAATTAATATTAAAAAATAATGTAATTGTAAATGTAATAATTTAAATATGAAATATATTGAAAGACATAATATTTTACTGAACTCAAGTCTTGTGTAACTACAATATTTTCAATAATTTATATTTAATAAATCAGAATTAGATGTATGTTGAAAGTGAAATTTTTAGAATTAGTAGTAAAAATATTGATCTCATTCAAGAATGAACTTATAAAAATAACACTCTAACATTTAAATCAATTTAAAATTTAAGATGATTATAATAAAAAATAAAATTATTTCAGTATTTACATTCTAGAAACAATTGTATATAATATTAAAAACAATTATATAAAAAATAAATATTTTTATATTTTAAATTAGTTGAACCTAAAAATATTTAATTGCATAACACAAATTCAAACTTATAACATTTTATTTATTTATTTTTAATAGACACAAATTAAAATCTTAATATTTTGTTTATTTATTTTCTAAGAGTAAAATGACAAGAATTTGTTGAAGTGTACTAGTAATGTATTGATGGGGTAGGAAGGAAAGACAAGAAGGGAGTGAGTGAGTGAATAAGAAAGGGAATAATAATGAAGAAGTGCATGTGGGAAGGACAGAACATAAGGGTGTGTGGGTCCCACATCAATCATGACATTGATGCTAGCCTGGCGTGTTGTCAATCACTTCACGTAACAGATTATATATTAGACTCTTCTTATCATATAAGTATACTATTATAATAACTTTCATTTTAATTTATGTTTAAATATCTTTTCATACATTAATATTCTTATATTATTATTTTATTTAATATAGTCAATTAATAGTATATATTAGAGTGATTTAAAAAAGTATATATTAGAGTGATTTAAAAAAGTATATATTAGAGTTAACTTTTATTATTAAATTACTTTTTTAAAATATTAACATAAAATAATTATATATTAAGTTAAATTATATTTTTATATAATTGTAATTTGATTATCACATGCATAAAATATTAAATAATTATTTTGATAGACATAATATTTTGGTGGATCACAACCACGAAAAACTCTTTTTATTTTTACCAAAAAAAGTTTAATATCTTCAACAACTGAATTTTTATTATTTTTAAAATCAAATAAATTTTTTTAAAATATAAAGTTTACTTTCAATTTAATTTTTAAAATAATAAAATTTTAAAAATATTTACTAAAATAACATAGTTTCAAAGAAGAAATTAGAGTATACGTCATATGATATAGAATCAATTCATTAAAGGAAGAGCATCTGCCATATCATATGACATATACTATTTCACAAAAACCTAACTCTAACTTGGAGTCCATGTGTCATATGAGATGACACACCCTTCTTTTTTTTAATAGTAAATTAAAAATACATAAAAAAAAGAATAAAAATAATTATAAATATTATAAAAATATATTAAAATTTACATGAAATTAAAAAAAAAATAATGATCGGCCCGATCAAAACGTCTCTCGATTCCACATCCCAGCATTAGTGTGCCTCTGAGGTCTACCACGGTTTTGTTAAGCTGTTTGTGGTATTTGTGTATTGCCCTGCGGAAAAGGTGTTTGTTGAGAGGGGCCCGACGTATTTGACAAATTTTGAATCATCTATCCCCAATAGCCGGGGGTTGCTTCTATAATTTAGTTTCATGCCCATGTTTTCGAAGTTTGGATGGAGGGTTAGGTTAGGTGCAGACGGTATGGTTGGCCGAACTGGTACTTTGAATTGTTTTGGAAACGATGCAAGGGTTGTTGTAGGGTTACGTAGTCAAATAGTGGTTGAGTGTTTTGGTTGTAGGACGATTGTGTGTTCATTTGTGGGGGGCTATGGTGGGCAGGGGTGGAGTCGAAATAGTCATCAGGGCTATAGGCATATGTGGTGTCAGTGTCTGGATGTTGGCGGTAAGGGCCAAACTCTTGTAGTTGTGATTGGGTGAGTGACATGAATGGGTTACGGGTCTGGAAGATTGATTGAGCGGGTAGATATGGTTGTTTGGTGTGGTGTAGTGTTTATTGTTGAACAAGTGTTTGTTTTTGTGTGTATGAGGAAGAAGCACGTTGGCGCAGATCTATCAAATATGTCAGCTCAGACACAAATTGTTATATTATTGTAACCGACCTAAACGAAATCATATATTGATGACTTGGTCTAGCCCCTTCCACAATAGGCTCTTTTAAGATGTGGCGACGTCAATTCTTCCAATGTCGACACATTTCATTAGCAAAGTCTCTCCAATCATTTAGACCCCATTGTGCATCCACTCTCAATTGATTCCAGTCTCCCAAAGAGGTCGGAGCAATTGGAATATTTTGATGCATGCCGAACTGCAGTTTCACCCGATCACTTTGGTGCACCTCCACTATAGTGAATCGAATGATCGGTGTTTTTGTTGTCCACAATGCATCAATTTCGTCGTTGGACTGATGGTCGAGACCCACATACGGCCTCCAAACAAACTACATGAACAAAATATTTAATTAGAAAATTATAGTGTGATAATTTAATAGCCAAATTTATAGTAGTGTAAGAATAATTTACATCGTTCGGTCCAATGTGTTCTAAAATATTGCGGTACACGATTATTGAGTTTTTTAGACATCGTTGATAAGTAATTCCCAGAACCAACCACCTCAAAAAAAGTGAGATATATAAATTAGTTACAAATAAATGTTTCATCAAAGTATACATGTTTAGTATTTTAAAATAAACATACTTGTTTGCGTAGGGGAATGTGTATGGATGCGGGTTGACCGGAGCTACTGTCGGCATTCTAGACTAACCCCATGCTTGAAGTAGAAAGACACAACCATAAAACGTATAAGTATTTTTTCTTTTTTGAATTTTTACACAAGGAACTATATAGATGAGTCAGAACAGCTGAACCCCAACTATAAGTGCATACCTTATTAATGTTGTGTAACAACGACAAATACATAATATTTACAGTATTTCCAGTACTTTCTGGAAATAAAAAGTGTTTAAATAAGATCATAATATAACACCGAGTTCTAATTATTTTTTCATACTCGATGGATTCATAGTTTAATATGATAATATTGTAATGTTCTCTTAGGTATTTTAAATTAATACCTTGACCCCTTGGTTGACCTATACGTTGTGGCTGAGGTGTTTCGACACAAAGAGGGGCACACAAAAAATCTTCACAATTTTGGTTATCAACATCAGTTTTGTTGTTAACGGCTTTACCATTAATGCGTAGGCCCAATAACATATATACATCTTCCAATGTGACGGTGCATTCATCGAAAGGAAGGTGAAATGTGTGGGTTTCTAGTCTCAAACGTTCTAGCAAAGCTAGAATAAATTAGGGATCAATTGAGTATGAAGTGACTTTTATCCAGCTGGTGCTACCAATCTCGACAAGAAGACTCTAAGAAGACTGACATCCAAGTTCTTCATCAGCAACAATGTGCTATATAAGAGAAACTACGACATAGTTTTGCTTAGATGTGTTGACAAACGTGAAGCAGACATGTTACTTCAAGAGATTCATGAAGGAACCTTTGGAACTCATGCCAACGGTTACACTATGCCCAAAAAGATTCTGGGAGATGGATATTACTGGTTAACCATGGAATCAGATTGCATCCAATATGCCAGGAAATGCCATAAGTGCCAAATTTATGCTGACAAGGTCCACGTACCTCCAACATCGTTGAATGTTTTATCTTCACCGTGGCCTTTCTCAATGTGGGTAATTGACATGATTGGGGCAATTGAGCCGAAAGCTTCCAACGGTCACTGATTCATTCTAGTCGCCACCGACTACTTCACCAAATGGGTAAAAGTTGCTTCTTATGCCAACGTGACCAAGCAAGTGGTTACCCGCTTCATCAGGAAAGAAATTACCTGTCGTTATGGAATTCCAAGTCGGATCATAATAGACAACGATACCAATTTGAACAATAAGACCATGAAGGAGTTGTGTGAAAGTTTCAAGATTGCACATCACAATTCTTCTCCTTACCGTCCTAAAATGAATGGAGCTGTTGAATCTGCAAAAAAAAATATCAAGAAAATCCTGCAAAAGATGGTCAAGACTTACAAGGATTGGCATGAAATGCTACCATTTGCTTTGCACGGATACAAAACTTCAGTACGAACTTCAACAGGGGCGACCCCTTTCTTATTGGTATATGGAATGGACGTTGTCCTTCCCATCGAGGTAGAACTACCTTCCTTAAGGGTATTGATGGAAACCAAGCTAGATGAAGCTGAATGGCTTCAAGACAGATTTGACCAGCTG